GTTTAAAAGAAGTATCAGGATCACAAAATTGCGAGGGAAAGTACGAGAGGAGGGTGATCGCACATTGAAGTGCGGATTATCTTAGTTACACATTCAATTAATTTTGCAAGATGAAAATAAAACTTAAACTTATGTTCAAAGTACCGCAGTGAGAAACGAAAAAATAATACAAAACAACGAAAAAACAAAAATGGTACAGACTGTTTCGTTTTGAAACAGAAAAAAGGCAGTGAAGCCAGTGAATTTAAAATAACGAATTACCAATAAACTAAATTTGTACTTTAGTCGATTGCTAAGGAACGGAATGAACCTTCCATAGTGTTAAACTTCGGAATCTTGCATTTGTCAGGCCGTTTCTTTTCATCTACACGAAGTGATTCCTCTTGTTTCAGCCATAGAGTGTACTTATCCACCATCAGCTTAACATGTGCATCTGAAAATTACAAAACAAAAGTGCGTTTATAACTAGATACATCTATAGTTGTTAGCATGATTGAACAAGGTTGTGAACTCACCATGAAGCTCCTTACAGAGAGGAGCTTTTCCACCATAATCAGCAGGCAGGACGCTCTGGGGGATAGTCTTGAACATGGTACTGAGGTCTTCTCCATGCATTGACAGCTACAGGCAAAACAAACATAATAAGACGTTGGTTATTTCAGTTATTTATATTGTCATTGGACAAAAAAAGTATTTAGTTGCCTCAAACTGGCAACCTAAACAAAACCATCACACGCGTACCATTTGCAGAAGCTCGCTTTTCACAAAGGGCTTAATGATGGTTAGAATCTTGTCAAACCACTTCACAGTATTGATAACGTGAATAGCCTTAAGCCGGCATGGGTGACATTCCTGAAAAAAAAATAATAATACAGAGTTAGGAAATGCATTGACATCACCGTTAAGTGTTTCTCTCTCTCTCTCTCTCTCTCTCTCTCTCTCTCTCTCTCTCTCTCTCTCTCTGCCTGTCTCTCGTTTTCTGTGCTTTGTAATTGGATCCAATCACATCCAATCACAGTCGATTAAAATCATTGAAAAGTACTAATGGCACTCTCGTAGGACTTAAT